ATGCATGGCGCTTTGTTAAAAGTGCAAACTATCTCTTTCGGCAAAAACTTAATTGGCGTTGAATTCTCAGGAATGACCAGTGAAAGAAATAATTAGCATATTAGTACTTTGCACAATACTGTGACCAATTCCATTCTTAAAACGGCCACTTCTTGCATACTCTACTTGTACTTATACAACAAGTACCTAATTCTTCTCTTCGTTTGCAGTTGCACTGTAACTCTTCATGTTTGGTGGAGAATAAATACAGTTAAACCTATCCAGAGACGGTCGGTCGTGCCGGATGCCTAAAGCGTTTGGAATGCGCATGTTATGAACTCTCGGCGACACGGAAAACTTAATGGTGCAGAAGACCCAGATAAACTCACGTGGTCGGTCAGGTGACTTATAACTTACGTCCGATCAGAAAATCGAGAACCCCGGCGAGTGCGCAATCAACTGTGCCGCCCGACCAGAATGATTTAGAAATCAACTGCTCCTCCTGATCAGCCTGTGATAAGAGATCCACTGTGACGCCCGACCAGACTGTGTTAAATAAGAGATCCACTGTGCCGCCGGACCAGACTGTATTAAGAGATCCACTGTGCCGCCCGACCAGACTGTATTAAGAGATCCACTGTGCCGCCCGAACAGACTGTATTTAGAGATCCACTGTGCCGACTGAACAGCCTATATTGAGAGATCAGCTGTGCCGACTGACCAGCTAGTATTAAGAGATCCACTGTGCCGCCCAACCAAACTGTATTTAAACATCAACTGTGCCGCCCAACCAAATGTATTTATAGATACACTGTGTCGCCCGACAAGCCTGTATTTAGAGATAAACTGCGCCGCCCGATCACTCTGTCTTTAGAGATCTACTTTGCCGCCCCGACCAGCCTGTAGTTAGAAATCCACTGTGCCGACTGACCAGCCTATATTCAGAGATCCAATGTATCGCCCGACCAGACTGTATTTAGACATCAACTGCACCACCCGACCAAACTGTATTTTGAGATCGACCGAGCCGACAAACCAGCCTGTCTTTAGATATCCACGGTGCCGCCCAACCAAACTGTATTTAGAGATCCACTGTGCCGCCCGACCAGCCTGTATTTAGAGATCCACTGTGCCGACCGACCACCCTGTATTTAGAGACCACCTACAATAAGAGATCCTTCTATGTACATCCCGAAGTTGGTTTCTGAATACATGTTTGATTGTATTACTATTTTGGGTAAATGTCATTCTAGAAAATGACAATTCACATCCACTTTTACGTACAAGCAAAACTGCCTTATTTAAGAGATCAGCTCTGCCGACTGACCAGCTTGTATTAAGAGATCCACTGTGCGCTCAACCAACCTGTATTTAGAGATCCACTGTGCCGCCCGGCCAGTCTGTATTTAGAGATAAACTGCGCCGCCCGATCACTCTGTCTTTAGAGATCTACTTTGCCGTCCGACCAGCCTGTAGTTAGAAATCCACTGTGCCGACTGAACAGCCTATATTAAGAGATCAGCTGTGCCGACTGACCAGCTTGTATTAAGAGATCCACTGTGTCGTCCAACCAAATGTATTTAGAGATCCACTGTGCCGCCCGACCAGACTGTATTTAGAGATAAACTGCGCCGCCCGATCACTCTGTCTTTAGAGATCTACTTTGCCGTCCGACCAGCCTGTATTTAGAAATCCACTGTGCCGACTGAACAATATATATAAAGAGATCCACTGTGCCGACTGAACAGCCTATATTTAGAGATAAACTGCGCCACCCAATCAAACTCTATTTATAAATCTACTGTGCCGCCCGACCAGCCTGTAGTTAGAAATCCACTGTGCCGACTGACCAGACTATATTAAGAGATCAGCTGTGCCGACTGAACAATCTATATAAAGAGATCCACTGTGCCGACTGAACAGCCTATATTTAGAGATAAACTGCGCCACTCAATCAAACTGTATTTAGAAATCTACTGTGCCGACTGACCAGCCTATATTCAGAGATCCAATGTACCGCCCGACCAGACTATATTTATACATCAACTGCACCATCCGACCAAACTGTATTTTGAGATCCACTGTGCCGACCGACCAACCTGTATTTAGAGATCCACTGTGCCGACAAACCAGCCTGTCTTTAGATACCCACTATGCCGCCCAACCGAACTGTATTTAGAGATCCACTGTGCCGACCGACCAACCTGTATTTAGATATCCACTGTGCCGACCGACCACCCTGTATTTAGAGACCACCTACAATAAGAGATCCTTCTATGTACATCCCGAAGTTGGTTTCTGAATACATGTTTGATTGTATTACTATTTTGGGTATACTGTATGTCATTCTAGAAAATTCACATCCACTTTTACGTACAAGCAAAACTGCCTTACATGGCCGTGAAAATACTGAAACATTTCAGTGTATATGAAATTAAGTGTCGAATATGTAAACAGATAGATAGCTTTTTTCCTGTAACATGTGTTGCCTGTGACATGTGTTGCCTGTAACATGTGTTTCCTGTAACATGTGTTGCCTGTGACCAACCTCTGTTTCAAATACAATGTACAAGGTGTATGCTTGACAGGGGGTACCCGAACCTGGGTTGGAAATAGTGTTGTCTTCTAACTTAAAAAGGAAGAAGGTAAGTAGCAGAACTGGACTGGGTCGATCGTCGACGACCAGGTAGCCCAAGAGGTAGAGCTTCCCTCTAGAGTTCGGAAGATCCCAGGTTCGAGTCTCGGTCTGGCCGTCCTGTTACATAATCATGAAGCAATGATGTGTACGAGACCAAGGTTGATGAAAGCATGCCTGTTCGTTTATCTAAACCCGGCATTACACTGGATTAGGTCGGCCATTTCTGTTGGCTAAAGATGAATTCTGTACAGAATAACTATCTTTGATTGTAAAATAAGGGTCGAATACCTTGATCCGAGATACAAGTTTCCGGAACAAACGTTACGAAATTTGGCGATGGGACTGTACATAGGCGGTATGTACTTCCGGTATGAAGATAACTCAGTTGTAAGCCAGATTCCCTCATCGAAATTTAAAAGATTGGAAAATTTGGTCTGAAATTCATAAGAAAGGATATCTATTTACTAGTACCCACTTGTCAGACATGCACTTCGGGAACCGCATACCAATGTTTTGCATGGCGTTGTAGCTCAGGGCCCGTATTCATGAAAACCGTTGTTATGCTCATTATAAATGGATTTTGCGGTCAAACCAACATTCGTTCAACTCGCTTAAAACATGTGACACATCCGAAAGGTCAAGTGTAAATATTAAAAACGGTATTCGGCTTTCAGTCTCATCAACATTCTTCCAAATGATTGGGAAAACGTGGATTTTATCAAATTATCACCGGAAGAAGAAGTTTGGCTTGAGCATAGAATCTGGTCCCGTATTCATGAAACTGTTCTCTTGCTCAAGCATGGATATTATGCGCAAGCTGAATTTCTTGTACTCGTTATAAAATCAGTGAAAATAAAATCTTGTTTTGTCAATGACTTTTTGATCGTTTGACTTGATTAAAGCAAGTTACAAGAAAGTTGGTTTGAGCACAGAACACATGCTTGAGCACGAGAACGATTTCATGAATATGAGCCCCTAGATGGGGATGCTAAATCGTGATGCATGCTTTATTTGTACCAACGTACAAAGACGTGCTTTAATTGTCCCTCATCTGTGTTTATTACATCTTGCTGTATAAACTAATTTGATGGGCCTGTGACTGGAAACCTTATATTCGATATGTCCTTATTTTCAGGCCCCAGTGTCTATAACTCTCAACTGAGTAAACCACTTTGCTGATAATGTGACAGGAAACCCAATACTTTATTCCCCTTTATTTAAACACCGATAGCCTTCCACATACAAAAATAAGAGAACCTGTTCACAAGTTTTATTATATGAAATGAAATGCCCCCCAAAATACCAAAAAAGGTTGGATGTTATGACAATGTTTCAATTGACATCATCTGGGATCTATGAAAATGTCCTAAAGGTGGCAGGTCAGCAGTGGGGGAGCACACACGGCGTGTCATTGGTTGGATTCCAACATCTCGTCTGTACGAGAGCCAGTAGCCTCTGACCATAGATAATTTACTGCGTGTCAGTGATTCGATCCTAACTTCTCGTCTGAACGAGAGCTAGCTTCAGCTTCTGTAGATTCGATCCTAACTTCTCGTCTGAACGAGAGCTAGCTTCAGCTTCTGTAGATGCGATCCCAACTTCTCGTCTTTACGAGAGCCAGCCTCGGTTTCCGTAAATGACTCTGTCTTCCTGTGATGTCCAGCATTCCTATACGTGAGGCCAAATGTGCATTATATTAGTAATCATTTGCAGACATCTTTAAATCAGATGACTTAAAATTGGAGATACATATGTATATTCATTTGAGAATACATTTATGTTGTATGTATATCAAAGTTCAATTCAATTTACCGATCATTAAAGTAATTAAAGATGAGACAGGAGAAAGAGAAATACACAGCCAGGCCAGGATTCGAACCTGGAGCCTCCGACCTCTAGACGGAGATCTAGCAATTGAGCTAACTGGTCGCCGCCGATTGGCCAAGTCCAGGTCTGCTGCACTCCTCCCACCTTCAACAAAGTCTTTGACCCTGACGACACACGAGACCCTATACCACCTTCCGTGGATAACAGTATTTGTAACAGGAAATAGAGAGATGCACAGCCAGACCGGGATTCGAACCCAGAGCCCTCCAAACTGTAGACGGACGCTCTACCAATTGAATGACCTGGTCGCCGATGATCGACCAAGTCCAGTTCTGCTACAAAGATGTGTGCAAATATGTGTACCCTCCTTGAACTGAAGTTATTTCAATTTGCCTAGTAACTTTGTTACTGTCATAACAATCCAAATAAACAGTGTAGGGGAGATAACTCCTATTCATATCACATCATATTTACCAGCAAAAAAAACAATAACTGTTTTATAATATATTTAAACAAAAAGAAATCCAAAAAATCAAGGTTCTGATTTTTTTTTCTCTCCATGTTTTGCCTCCGAGTACAATTTAGCCAGGGTTGAATCCAACAGTTTGGCATCCAACAGTTCGGCATCGTAGCTTTAGAAGACATCGTCAAGGTTATTTTCCTTAAAATAAGCATGGAGGACACTGTGTTAACAGGGTTTTTATCTTCGAGTAGCTTTTGGAAATTTTCAGATGCAGCCATCTTCTGCTGTCGTCTGACAGATCGCGTTCCGGTCGTCAGCAGCCATCTTCTGCTGTCGTTCGACAGATCGCGGTTCGGTCTAACTATGGCTGCGACAGGTTGCGGGGAATTTCCATAAAAACAAGTCTACATGAGTTTTCGAGGACTGGACACGTGTATAGGATCCGACCAATGTGATTGCGAGAAATGTTCAAGCATTTAATAAACCAAATTGAGAAATGTTTTGTACTAATTGCATCCTAATGTGCATTCAAATATAAAATGAAATGCAATTTCGTTTTCATTTTCACTGGTACTTGTATATGGTATGCATGATCTTGTAGACTGTTGTCACACCACTGCATACTTGAACTGACAGTCTCCAAATCTGTTTGCACACCAATGTCTTTCGTTTGGTCTGCTGTCACTAGTGGCTGACTGAAAATCAAAAATAATTATGATAATTAGATAAACACCATGGAAAAATGCTATCTAAGTCTGTGCTAAAACCATATCAATTCGACATTTAAATATGGTCACTGCCACGTTTTGACACCTGAAATGGTCAGAAAAACATGTTTTCTCTTTATGTCAAGTTCCGGTTAATGTCATGGTTTTAGTTGACATATGAGAAGTGATATTAAGCGAAATATATTGTACTATCATTTACCAAAGGGCAGGTGGGCCTTGATTACTCACTTTGTTTTACTTAACAATCATGATTTCTCCCTAGATAAGAAATAACATTAATTTCATAAAAAGAAAACAATACACCTTTTGGGAACATTTAATCGAGATATATCCAATTTTAAAATGGTGAAGATCCTTATTGGGGCATTCTGGTTGTTCAATATGATTCTAGCATAGCCTAAGTTTAACTCTACACCTAACCTTGGCTCTGTTAACGACCCTGGGTATGGGATGTTTTCGAATTGCACATCAAAGCAATTTCAAATGTTTGTGAAAACAGATTTTTTTGTTGCCGAGTACTTGTTCTTATCACGGCTTCTATTGAAGTAAACTCCTGGCCGTGTCTCAAATTATGACCCAAATGATCAATGTAAACATCAAGTATGCCAACATATATCGTAGATATGTGTTACAGTAGCTCAGTACCGATTACTACCATTGTTGAACTTTGACCTCTGACTGAGGCTCCATTTAAGGACAAGTGGGTAAGACCTGAACATAATTTGAATAATATTTATTTACATTCTTCAAGAAATTGATAGTTAATTATACCTTTCCATGAAACTGTTCTCATCAGCATAGTTTCTTTTAAGAATTTGGCCAGTCTCCTTGGTCCTAAGTGAATATCTAAAGTAAGAAAATAATATTGATTTTATTAATGCCTAATAGTTTAATGACAAATACAGGAATTCAAGTTTCGGTTGTACAAATGGAAATTATACCCAGGAATAATCACTAATCCTAAAACCTTTGAATCAGTTAATAGGATTCCATATGAATTTATAATTATAACTTTATAGCATTACTTTCAACTAAAAGTAACACTTAAAATTGTTTGTATTAACTAGCATAACTAATGGACTGTCAAGTTTCATAAATACAAATTACCTTTCCTTTACATTGCTCTCATCAGTCTGTATCTTTCTTTTGAGGATTCTTCTGCTTTTGTTTGTGGGATTTTCATAGCCTACATGGATAAAATGGGAAAATAATACATCAAAATTTGTATGATATGAATATGTGCAACCAATAGATGTGTTCCATGAATTCAATTCATTAATGATAACTAGGTAATATTTTTCTTAGTAATTGCCTGAGCATTTGAAACAGGGACTGGTTGACATTTTTATCATGGGAAATTTCAGAATTAAGCAGAAAGTATGGGTAATAGGAGAGAAAAACTATAATATTTTCAAAGAAAAGAACTTTAACCTTATGAGAAAGTATAAGGTTGATAAGAATTATTTTTCAAAATATTGTTATTTAATATATGAAGAGCAAATAAAAGGTTTGACTTTTTTCACTGCCCATCATAAAAGGGCACCAATTTTTGGTAGGAATTTTACTTGTCATAAGTATCTATAATTTGTTACAGATAGGCATATATTTTGAGAGAAAAAAATAAGGTTTTCTCCCAATTATCGTTTATACTATCACTGGGGGTGGTAATTTTACTGAGAATTGATTTAAACTTCTAGAACGTGTTGTATTAATATGAACACTACAGTTTAGGTTCAAATACTTAGATTGAAATACTTATGACTATTTACGTGTGCTAGCAACTTCTATTGTGTTGTTTACTTTATCAGACTTGAGATGAAATTTTTAAATTGTTGTATGGAAGTAGCATTTAAAAGTTAAAGGGGGGGGGGGGGGGGGGGAAGGGTTAATATATCCTAAAATAGACATGTGAATTGCATGGTGAGGACCTAATGTNTATATAATTCATAGGACGTAAAACAATCTAAGACCAAACGTATGCCACATTACTACCTGAAGAGAGAGTGCAGTTAAAAAAAGTTAAAAAAAACCCAAAAACATATGGGAAATGTAATTTAGCTATATATATACAACATGGCGATATCTCCCAGATTATCAAATTCCTGCTATATCTTGTAAACTTACTGCTAAAATCGTTAATATAGGACAAAACAACTGTTTACCTCGCTCTGAGATTGTTAAACAGGGCTAGCTTACCGTTCGACGGGAGGTAACTCCAGTGAGTCTCGTGTGTTTATTTGGGTTCTTGAATACTTCACTCGAGTGTAATCAATAATCATTCCCTTCACAATTGTGTCAATGTCCTGTATCTGTTATAAGAAAGTGTCAGAAACATTTAGTAACAGAAAATTAAATCTTTGATTTATTTCGATACAGTCTATGGTTTGTATGTAACACACTGTGACAGAATGAAGATTGGTTTCTGTAATGACGTTTTGTTTGCCACGCTTGGCTTTGGTAAACTTGCTGAATTTGTTGATTTTCTGACAATTTTCAAGAAAAATGCGGTCATTTGTATATATATATCGCGGTCAGCTGTCCGAAAAATGTATATTTTTAACATTCAAAACAATTTACTGAATTAATGATATACCAGCAAGTATTCGACAAAATTACATTTCAGGTAAGCTTTCTGAATTATTGAGGTTTTGATCATATTGCAAATACAAAGAAGGTCACTCTGTGGAACTGAAAATAATAATATATTAAAATTAATTCGGTAATGTTTCTGTCTCCACCCAGTAATACATATTACAATTTCTGTAAAGGGATCTAAAGTTGATTACAAGCCTTTTGTATTTCTGAAATCAGACCCCCCC